AAAAATTGAAATAGAATTGGAAGAAAATTTTCATTTCCGATTTCCGATTTATGTTTTCCGAATATACTATTTCCGATCTGATCCGGCCGATTTACACCCCTAGTATTTCGCATTTGAGTTTGTTTTTTTTTGTTCTACAAATAACAAACTAGATTGGTAACGAGATTTTTACTGGCGACAGAGCAAGTGGCTAGTGATTGCACTTTACGGTGCTCTTATCGTTTGGAAACATGATGCTGAAGCTTTGTGGGTTGCAATGGGATGTGCGATAAATTCTTGGCTTGGAATTGCTCTAAAGCACATTCTCAATCACGAGAGACCAATCTTAACCTTGAGATCTGACCCAGGGATGCCGTCTTCACATTCGCAGTCCATCTTCTTTGGTGTCTTATATGTTATTCTATTAAGTAAGTTTCGATCATCATCATTTCTAGATTAAAACTTATACTTCAACAGTATAAATATGGTGTTTACATATCTCCTAATGCTTTATAATCTTGTTGCTTTATTGTCACAGTGGTAAAATGCGTGGGTCTGAATGGAAATACGGTGTTTGCAGTGGTGCTCACTTTGTGTTCTGGCTCGTATCTGGTATGATCTAGTCCGATTTTGTGGACACACTTTTTGTATGTCCACGGGACAACATCTTTTCATTGGTCCACGTAGGTTAATAATCCAATAAACAATTAAAATAATTATCTAATAAATAGTTAATAAACAGTTACTACATACGTGGACCAATAAAAAGTTGTTGTCCCGTGGACATACAAAAAGTGTATGTCCACAAAATTGCTGTCGCTTTTGACTCTTGTTATAACATATAAAGTGCACAATATCATTGCAAATTCTGGAGTAAACACAATAACCTGTCTTTTGTGTTGCAGTCATGGCTAAGGGTCTCACACAAGCTCCACACCATCAGCCAAGTCCTCGTTGGTGCTGTTCTAGGTGCAATGTTTTCGGTTTTGTGGTTCCAAGCATGGTATGCATTTGTTCTTCGAGCATTCGCTGCATCTTTGGGGGTTCGAATCGCTGTATTGTTAGGGACTGCCAGTATCGGTGTGTGCTTTTTGCTCTATATATTTAGGAATGGGTTTGCGGAAAAACTTTGAAGATTGAAGAATAGACCAAAAATACTAGGTAGCATGTAACTACTGATACTAGAAAATCTGCAGATAACCTATCTGAAACGCGAAAGCACAGATTTCTTGAAGCAACGCCGAAAAGTAAAGATAACCTATCTTCTCCATCTTGTGTTCTTTTCTTTTTCTATTTTTATCTCTTCAATCCATTCTAAAAATCTTTGAACTTAATCTATTTAGTTCTCTTAATTGTATTGTATGATTAGATACGGCATAGGACAACT